GGGTCTGGGGGCATCCTGGGGGGCATTAGAGGGGTCTGGGGGTATGTAGGGGGACATTAGAGAGGTCTGGGGGCATCTTGGGAGGGCATTAGAGGGGTCTGGGGGTATGTAGGGGGACATTAGAGAGGTCTGGGGGCATCTTGGGAGGGCATTAGAGGGGTCTGGGGGTATCCCAGGGGGGTCAGGGGGGCATTGGGGTCTCAGAGGTGGCCCCTGGGGCAGTCCCAGGAGGGTCCCAGGGATCTGGGGTGATCCTGGTGGTCCCAGGGTAGTCCTGGGGTGGTCCCACGGTGGTTGTGGGGTGGTCCTAGAGGTCCAGGGTGGTCCCAGGGTGGTCCCAGAGGCCCAGGATGGTCCCAAAAGTCGAGGGTGGTCCCAGGGTGGTCCCATTGACACCCCCGGTGCCCCCCAGGGATCAACGACCTGATTCACTTTGACTTCCTGGACCCTCCTCCCCATGAGACCCTCGTGCTGGCCCTGGAGCAGCTCTACGCCCTGGGGGCCCTCAACCACCTGGGCGAGCTCACCACGGTACTGGCGGCACTGGGAGCACTGGGAGGGCTGCTGGGAGGGACTGGGAGAGACTGGGAGGGGATTGGGGGTCACTGGGATGGGAGGTCTGAACCACCTGGGCAAGCTCATCACGGTACTAGGAGTACTGGGAGCGCTAAGGAGGTTACTGGGAGGTCACTGGTGGCACTGGGGGTGTTACTGGTGGCACTGGGAGGTCACTGGTGTCCCCTGTCCCAGCTGGGGCGCCGCATGGCCGAGCTGCCCGTGGAGCCCATGCTGGCCAAGATGATCCTGGCGTCGGAACAGTGAGTGACCCCTGGCCCCAAATGTCCCCAAAGTGTCCCCAAGTGTCCTCAGAATGTCCCTGGGTCTCCCTATGGTGTCCCCAGGGTGTCCCCAGTGTCCCCAGGGTGTCCCCAGGGTGTCCCCAGGGTGTCCCCAGTGTTCCCAGGGTGTCCCCAGGGTGTCCCTGGTGTCCCCAGAGTGCCCCCAATGTCCCCAGGGTATCCCCAGGGTGTCCCTGGTGTCCCCAAAATGCCCCCAATGTCCCCAGGGTGTCCCCAGGGTGCCCCCAATGTTCCCAGGGTGTCCCCAGGGTGTTCCCAGGGTGTCCCCAATGTCCCCAGGGTGTCCCCAGTGTCCCCATGTCCCCAGGGTGTCCCCCTGTCCCCAGGTACAGCTGCACCGAGGAGGTGCTGACAGTGTCCCCCTGTCCCCAGGATGTCCCCATGTCGTCCCTGGTGTCCCCAGAGTGCCCCCAATGTCCCCAGGGTGTCCCCACTGTCCCCAGGGTGTCCCCAGTGTCCCCAGGGTATCCCCAGGGTGCCCCAGATGTCCCCAGTGTCCCCAGGGTGTCCCCAGGGTGTCCCCAATGTCCCCAGAGTGCCCCCAATGTCCCCAGGGTGTCCCCAGGGTGTTCCCAGGGTGTCCCCAGTGTCCCCCGTGTCCCCCTGTCCCCAGGTACGGCTGCACCGAGGAGGTGCTGACGGTGTCCCCCTGTCCCCAGGATGTCCCCATGTCCCCAGGGTGTCCCCAGGATGTCCCCAGGGTGTCCCCAGGGTGTCCCCCTGTCCCCAGGTACAGCTGCACCGAGGAGGTGCTGACGGTGTCCCCAATGTCCCCGTGTCCCCAGGGTGTCCCCAGGATGTCCCCAGGAGGGTGTCCCCAGTGTCCCCAGTATCCCCCTGTCCCCAGGTACGGCTGCACCGAGGAGGTGCTGACGGTGTCCCCATGTCCCCAGGGTGTCCCCAGGGTGTCCCCAGGGTGTCCCCAGGATGTCCCCATGTCCCCAGGGTGTTCCCCAGGGTGTCCCCAGGATGTCCCCAGGGTGTCCCCAGTGTCCCCCTGTCCCCAGGTACGGCTGCACCGAGGAGGTGCTGACGGTGGCGGCGATGCTGTCGGTGAACAACGCCGTGTTCTACCGGCCCAAGGACAAGGTGCTGCACGCCGACAGCGCCCGGGTGGGCTTCCACCTGCCCGGGGGGGACCACCTGGTGCTGCTCAACATCTACAACCAGGTACGGGGACATTGGGGACACTGGGGACAAACAGGGACATGGGGGGGCTTCCACCTGCCTGGGGGGGACCACCTGGTGCTGCTCAACGTCTACAACCAGGTATGGGGACATTGGGGACACTGGGGACAAACAGGGTCATGGGGGGGCTTCCACCTGTACCTGGTGCTGCTCAACGTCTACAACCAGGTATGGGGACACTGGGGACAAACAGAGACATGGGAGGCTTGGGGACATGGGGTTGTAGAGGAGCAACACTGACCATGTGTCTCTTTGTCCCCCCTGTCCCTGTGTGTCCCTGTGTGTCCCTGTGTGTCCCCCTGTGTCCCCCCTGTCCCTGTGTGTCCCCCCCATCCCTGTGTGACCCCCCGTGTCCCTGTGTGTCCCCCCTGTCCCCATGTGTCCCCGTGTGTCCCTGTGTGTCCCCCCTGTCCCTGTGTGTCCCCCCTGTCCCCCTGTGTCCCCCCCTGTCCCTGTGTGTCCCTGTGTGTCCCCCCCTGTCCCTGTGTGTCCCCCCCTGTCCCTGTGTGTCTCCCCTGTCCCTGTGTGTCCCTGTGTCCCCCATGTCCCTGTGTCCCCCATGTCCCCCTGTCCCTGTGTGTCCCCGTGTCCCTGTGTGTCCCCCCTGTCCCTGTGTGTCCCCCTGTCCCTGTGTGTCCCTGTGTGTCCCTCTGTCCCTGTGTGTCCCCCTGTCCCTGTGTGTCCCCTGTGTGTCCCCCGTGTCCCCGTGTCCCCATGTCCCTGTGTGTCCCCTGTCCCTGTGTGTCCCTGTGTGTCCCCCCTGTCCCTGTGTGTCCCCCTGTGTCCCCTGTGTGTCCCCCCTGTCCCTGTGTGTCCCCCCATGTCCCCCATGTCCCTGTGTGTCCCCCCCCCCCCTGTGTGTCCCTGTCTGTCCCTGTGTGTCCCTGTGTGTCCCCCCTGTCCCCCCTGTGTGTCCCCCCGTGTCCCCCCCCTGTCCCCGTGGGCAGTGGGTGGCCAGCGGTCACTCCCTGCAGTGGTGCTACGAGCACTTTGTGCAGGCGCGGTCGCTGCGCCGCGCGCGGGACGTGCGGGAGCAGCTCCAGGGGCTCATGGAGCGCGTGGAAATCGCCCCCTCCTCGTGCGGGGGCAACCTCGACCTCGTCAGGAAGGTACCTGGGACCCCCCAGACCCCCATGGACACCCCCATATCCCTGGGACCCCCCAAACATCCCTTGGGACCCCCCAAAAAAAACCCCTCCTCGTGCGGGGGCAACCTCGACCTCGTCAGGAAGGTACCTGGGACCCCCCCCAGATCCCCATGGACACCCCCAGACCCCCTGGAACCCCCCAAAAAAATCCCCTAAAACCCCCCTCCATGCAGGGGCAACCTCGACCTCGTCAGGAAGGTACCTGAGACCCCCAGACCCTCTGGGACCCCCCCAAACATCCCTTGGGACCCCCCAAAAACCCCTCCTCATGCAGGGGCAACCTCAACCTCGTCAGGAAGGTACCTGAGACCCCCAGACCCCTGGGACCCCCATATCCCTGGGACCCCCAAAAAATCCCCTCCATGCAGGGGCAGCCTCGACCTTGTCAGGAAGGTACCTGGGACCCCAAACCCCCATATCCTGGGACCCCCAAACATCCCTTGGGACCCCCAAAAACCCCCTCCTCATGCAGGGGCAACCTCAGCCTCGTCAGGAAGGTACCTGAGACCCCCCAGACCCCTGGGACCCCCATATCCTGGGACCCCCAAACACAGCCCTGAAACCCCTCCAGTGTCGCTTCCCCCCCTTTTTGTGTCCAACCCCAGGCAGTCACAGCCGGGTTCTTCTACCACACAGTGTAGCTGGGACCCCTCTCAGTGCCCTCCCAGTGCCCTCCCAGTGCTTCCCAGTGACTGACCCCCCGTTCCTGCCCCCCCAGGCGGTCACAGCCGGGTTCTTCTACCACACGGCGCGGCTGTCGCGGGGCGGGTACCGGACGGTGAAGCACCAGCAGCCCGTGTTCATCCACCCCAACAGCGCCCTGTTCGCCCTCCAGCCCCGCTGGGTGCTCTACCACGAGCTGGTCTGCACCTCCAAGGAGTTCATGAGACAGGTGGGGACACGGGGACAGCGTGGGGACAGCGTGGGGACACGGCAGGCACCTGGTGGGCTTGTCCCCATGGAACCACGGTGACAACGTGGTGACCCCATGACCATGCCCCCACAGCCCCCACATTGACAGGGACCTGGTGGCCGTGTCCCCACAGCCCCTACAGTGACAGGGACCTGGTGGCTGTGTCCCCACATTGACAGAGACCTGGTGGCTGTGTCCCCACAGCCCCTACAGTGACAAGGACCCTGTGGCCGTGTCCCCACATTGACAGGGACCGGTGGCCCTGTCCCCACAGCCCCTACAGTGACAGGGACCTGATGGCCCTGTCCCCACAGCCCCTACAGTGACAGGGACCTGATGGCCCTGTCCCCACATTGACAGGGACCCTGTGGCCATGTCCCCACATTGACAGGGACCTGGTGGCCCTGTCCCCACAGCCTACAGTGACAGGGACCTGTGGCTGTGTCCCACATTGAGGACCTGTGGCAGTGTCCCCACAGCCCCCATGGTGACAGAGACCTGTGGCCCCACAGCCCCATGGGGACACAACTGTGACCCAAAGTGACTGAGACTGACCCAACCTCGACCCCACCCCCCTCCCTGTGCCCCCGGCAGTGCCTGCCACCGCGTCCCCACAGGCTCAGTGCCACCCCTGCTGACCCCGTGTCCCCCCGCTGTCCCCTCGCTGTCCCCAGGTGATCGAGATCGACCCCGCCTGGCTGCTGGAGGTGGCCCCTCACTACTACCAGGCCAAGGAGCTGGAGGACGGCAGCGCCCGCAAGATGCCCAAGAAGGCTGGGAAGTGCCGGGAGGAGCTGGGCTGACTCCCCTGGGGACGCTTGGGGACACTGGGGGGACGCCTGGGGACACCCCAATACAGCCCCAGCTCCAGGGACACGTTCGGTGGCCGCGGCCGCTCCGTCCGAGTTTATTCTGTACATTAAGTTAAGGGGGCGGGGGGGGACACACAGGGGACAGGGGACACACGGGGGACGCGCCGGGGGGCTCAGGTGTCCCCCGAGGTGGCCTCGGGCCGCAGCAGCAGGCGCAGGGCGGGCGCGGGGTCGGCCACGGCCACGGCCACGGCCGCGGCCACCAACAGCTTCTTGGCCTCGGGGACGGCCGTGGGGGCCGGCATGAGCTGGGGGGACACGGGGACAGCTCAGGGCGACGCCCTGGTGGCCCCCGGGGGTCCCAGGGGGGTCCCCAGGGCGTCCCAGACTCACCTTGTCCACGCGGTGGCAGCGGATGAGCCCCTGCGAGTTGAGGAAGAAGGTGGAGAATGCGTCGTAGGACCTGGGGGGGGGACATTGGGGGACGTTTGGGGACGCTGGGCTGGGACATCCTGGGGGTGGCAGGGGGTGTGGGGACCTCAGGGGGACAGTGGGGACGCTGATGGGGACGGGGGGGGCACTGGAGACACAAGAGTGACATGGGCGTGGCAGAGTGATAGGGGGGTGACGGGTGACACAGAGGGTGACACAGGAGTGACAGGAGTGACACAGGGGTGACACAGGGACATGACAGGGGTGACACAGGGGTGACAGGGTGACACAGGGGTGATAGAGGTGACACAGGGAGGTGACAGGGGTGACAGGTGACACAGGGGTGACACAGGGGGTGACAGAGGTGACACAGGGGGTGACAGGGTGACACAGGGGGGTGACAGGGGTGTCCCCAGGGTGTCCCCAGTACTGACCTGAGCAGCTGGCGCTTGTCCCTGTGGTAGAAGCGCAGCAGCAGCAGGTGCAGGGGGTGACACAGGGGTGACAGGGTGACACAGGGGTGACAGGGGTGACACAGGGAGGTGACAGGGGTGTCCCCAGGGTGTCCCCAGCACTGACCTGAGCAGCTGGCGCTTGTCCCTGCGGTAGAAGCGCAGCAGCAGCAGGTGCAGGGGGTGACACAGGGGGGTGACAGAGTGACACAGGGGTGACACAGGGAGGTGACAGGGCTGACACAGGGAGGTGACAGGGGTGTCCCCAGCACTGACCTGAGCAGCTGGCGCTTGTCCCTGCGGTAGAAGCACAGCAGCAGCAGGTGCAGGGGGTGACACAGGGGTGACAGGGGTGACACAGGGAGGTGACAGGGGTGACACAGGGAGGTGACAGGGGTGTCCCCAGCACTGACCTGAGCAGCTGGCGCTTGTCCCTGCGGTAGAAGCACAGCAGCAGCAGGTGCAGGGGCACCCCCGTGAGCCTCCAGCGGGCGCGGACGCTCCAGTCCTCGGGGTGCCGGGTCAGCGCCAGCACCTCCAGCCTCAGGCTGGCAAAGTACCCCCAGGCCAGCGCCTTGCACAGCGCCACGGCCAGCTGGTACATGGGACGGCCCCTGGGGACAGGGGACAACGGTGTCACCTCCCTGGGACACCCCCACGGCACCCCCGGGCTGGCAGAGCACCCCTGTGGCACGGCCCACGCACACAGAGGGGGACGCTGTGGGGACAGGGACAGTGATGGCACCTCCCCATGTCACCCTCAGTGTCCCCAGATGTCCCCACACCTGGTGTGCAGGTGCAGCAGGTGGTTGATGAACTCCACGTCCTGGGAGTACAATCCGTAATCCGGGATTTTCAGGAAGAAATTCGGGAGCTAGGGGAGTTGGGGACAAAAGGGGACGTTCCCAAATTATTGTCACGTCCCCATCTCCGCCAAATGTTGTCACCACCCCTTCCTGTCAACTACCCTCCCCGTTTTGTCACCACCTCCATTTCCCCTCCTTTTTCCTCAGTGTTTTCCCATTTTCCCTCCCATTCCCCCCAAATCTCCAATCCCCCCATTTTTCTCCTCCATCCCCCCTATTTCTCTCCCCCAAATCCCCCTTATTTTTACCCCTCCACATCCTCCCATTTTCTTTCTCTTTTCCCCCCAATTTTTCCTCCCCACCCACGCCATTTTTATCCCCACATCCCCCCATATCCTCCCATTTTCCTTTTACCCATTTTTACCCTCCCATTTTCTATTTCCTATTTTTACTCCCCATTTCCCCATTCCCCCATTTTTACCCCCCCATTTCCTATTTTTACCCCCATTTCCCATTTTTGCCTCATTTTTACCCCCATTTCCCCATTCTCCCCCATTTTACCCCCATTTTTACCCCCATTTCCCATTTCCCCTCCTATTTTTACTCCCCATTTCCTCATTCCCCCAATTTTTCCCCCATTTTTCCCCTATTTTTCCCCATTTTCCCCCATTTCACCCACCTCGTGCCGCAGCTTCTCGTGCATCACAGCCAGGTGCTCCTCCATGGAGGGGCTTTGTGTGCCGGGGGGCTCTGGGCCAGCAGGGCCCCGCCGGGGGGTCTGAGCAGCAGCCGGGGGTCCCTGACGGCGATGTCGTCCTCCCGCCGCCCGTCCACCGTGGTCACCGGGCCCCCCAGCCCCTCCAGCCCCCGAGGCTGGGGGGGCCGCGCTGGGAGGGGCAGCAGGGCTGGCAGGGGGGCGAGGAGCCAACAGGTCCTGGGGGAGATAAAGACGGGGGTTGTATTGTTTTGGGGGGGGTATTTACCCCATGGTGGGGGCTGAACCATTTGGGGGGGTCGATCTGCCCTATAAGGGGGGATTCACCTCATGGGGACAGGTCTGCATCATTTGGGAGGGGTTTGAATCTGCTCCATTTAGGGGGGATTTAGCCCATTTTTGGGGAGATTTACCCCATTAAAAGGGGGATTTACCCCATTTAGGGGGATCTACCCCATTTCGGGCGGGGGGTGGTCCCAGCAGGACCCCAAAGTCCCCCAACCAGCCACGGCCCCGCCCCCAAAGAGCAAGCCACGCCTCCAATATTTAATATAGCACTCTCTATTTGCATAACCACGCCCCGTTCCGCGCATAAATACCGCCCAAATCTATTTGCATAACCCTGCCCATCCAGCGACGTAACCGTTTCTGTGTATTTAAGTAACCCCGCCCACCCAACGGTCTGCTTTGCAGCATAGATTTGCATAACCCCGCCCACATAACGTAACCACCCCATGATTATTTGCATAAACCCAGCCCACTCCCCATCACAATTTACATAACCCCGCCCCGAGTCGCTTTCCCTATCAGGCTATATTTGCATAGCCCCGCCTCTCCCCGGGCGTTATTTACATAACCCCTCTCCCTCCACCTGTCAATCCCCCTCCCCAACCAATCCCCTGTCTCCGATTACCATAACCCCGCCCCTTCCACCCCCTCATTTGCATCCCCTCACGGAGGCCCCGCCCCCTGCCCGCGACCCTCACCTGCGGCCGCGCCCGGTACCGTCGGCGGGGCGGTTCCGCGCCGGTGCTGAGGGGTCCCCAGGCGCGGTGGGAGCCCGCGGGGCGCAGGCGGACGGCGGCGGCGGCGGCGGGGACGTGCCGGTACATGGCGGGAGCTTCGCAGCGGCCGCCCCGGGGCTTCTTTTCCCCCTCACGCCGGTGACTCCCAGCGCGCCTGCGCGGGCCGTGAGGGGAGTGGGGGGGGCAGAGGAGGCGGGAGCGCACCGCGCATGTGCGCGCGCGGGAAGGTGACCGGCGCGGCCGCCACGCCCATTCATGCCCCGGGAGGGGGCGTGGCCAAGCAGTTCCAACCAATAGAATTCTTGCTTTCTCCTGAGGGGCGGGGCATGACCGTATATAGCTGAAAGCCCCGCCCCCCTCGGGATGATTGACAGGCCGGAGGAGCCGAAGCAGAGTCACCGTTTTTATTGAAACGTACCCAAAAAATGGGGGGGGGAGGGGAGGGAGGGGTGGGACAGGCACCCATGGGGGCTGGGAGGGGATGGGACCCCGCGGCGGGGCGGGAAATGGGTCCCAGGGGGAGTTGTGGGGCTGGAACTGGTTCCCAGTAGGGCAGGGACTGGTTCCCAGTGGGTCTGTGGGGCACAAACTGGTTCCCAGTAGGGCAGGGACTGGTTCCCAGTGAGGCAGGGACTGGTTCCCAGTGGGTCTGTGGGGCACAGATTGGTTCCCAGTGGGTCTGTGGGGCACAAACTGGTTCCCAGTGAGGCAGGAACTGGTTCCCAGTAGGGCAGGAACTGGTTCCCAGTGGGTCTGTGGGGCACAGACTGGTTCCCAGTGGGGTCTGTGGGGCACAAACTGGTTCCCAGTGAGGCAGTGACTGGTTCCCAGTGGGGTCTGTGGGGCACAAATTGGTTCCCAGTGGGTCTGTGGGGCACAAACTGGTTCCCAGTGAGGGCAGGGACTGGTTCCCAGTGGGTCTGTGGGGCACAGATTGGTTTCCAGTGAGGCAGGGACTGGTTCCCAGTGGGCGTGTGGGGCAGGACCAGTCCCCCCCAGACCCCCTCGGCCCCGCCGGGGGATCCTCAGGGGCAGGGGGGGCTCAACGTCCGACTCGGCCCAGGGAGCTGGGGGAGACAAGAGGCAAAAATCACCCGAAAACGGCTAAAGTTGGGCGGAAAGCAGGAAAATGAGGCGAAAAATGGGCAGATTTGGGTGAGATCAGGGAAAACGAGGTGAAAAATGAGGCCCAAACCAATGAAATTTGCGATAAAATGAAGGAAAATGAGGTGGAAAATGAGACCAGAAATGGCTGGATTGGGGTGAAATGAAGGAAAAAGAGACCAAAAGTGGCCAAATTTGGGTGAAAGGGGGGCTGAGGAAGGGAAGGGAAGGCTGGGGGCTGCCCTGGGTGTGGGGGTGTTTGGGGGGGTGTTTTGGGGGGCTGTTTTTGGGGGGGGATCCCACCTGGCGCGGCGCTGGGGGCCTCGGGCGCTCGGGGGTCCCGGCGCAGCAGGAAGGGCCGGAGGCTCCCCCGGACCGGGACCCCGAGACCCCCCCGCGGGCCAGGGACAGGTTGAAGGGCCACGGAGGCTCCGCCTCCTCACGCAGGACTGCGGGCGATTGGCTGAGAGTCAGTGGGGACACACCCACCGGGACACACCCACTGAGCCACACCCCATCAGGCCACACCCCCCAAAAATCCCATCTTGAAGGGGATTGGCTGAGAGTCAGTGGGAACATGCCCACCACCACGCCCCCTCTGACCACACCCCATCAGGCCACACCCCCCCAAAAATCCCAGCTTGAAGGGGATTGGCTGAGAGTCAGTGGGAACACGCCCACCACCACGCCCCCTCTGACCACACCCCATCAGGCCACACCCCCCAAAAAATCCCAGCTTGAAGGGGATTGGCTGAGAGTCAGCAGAGACACGCCCCCACCTGCTTTGACCACGCCCTCTTTGGCCCCACCCTTTTAGTTTTCCCAAATCCCAGCTTGAAGGGGATTGGCTGAGACTTCTGCTGGGACACGCCCACCTGGGGCCACACCCATGCTGACCACACCCCTTTAGCCCCTCCCCCTCTGACCACACCCCTTTTAGCCCCTCTCCTCTGACCACACACATTTAAACTTCCCCCTCTGACCACACCCATTTAAACTCCTCCCCCTCTGACCACACCCCTTTTAGCTCCTCCCCCTTTAGCCCCACCCTCAGACCCCCCAAAATCCCCCCCAGACCCCTCAGCTCCCCTCAAACCTGTGGGAAAACCTTACTGAGACCCCCCAAAACCCCCCAAACCCCCATAAGCCCCCCAAATTCCACACCAGTGTCCCCCCAGTGCTCCCCAGTCCCTCCCAGTGCCCCCCAGTCCCTCCCCAGTGCCCCCCGCTCACAGTCGCGGTCGGAGCTGGAGTAGGGCTTGATGGGCTCCTCCTGCGGCCGCCGGGGAGGGCCGCGCCCGATGGGGGCTTTGGGGGCTCGAGGAGGGTCAGAGGGTGAGGGGAATCCCACAGACACCCCCTGGGACCCTCCAACCCGGGAGCCCCCAAAAAACGCAGCCCAGGACCTTCCAAACCCCCCTCAAACTTCCCCAGGGATCCCCTCCAACTCTCCCCTAAATCCTCGGGACCCCCCCAAATTTTCCCCAGGACCCCCAAACCCTCCTGGGACCCTCCAAACTCACCCCCCCAAGGACCCCCAAACCCTCCTGGGATCTCCAAACTCACCCCCTCCCTCCCAAGAACCCCCAAATCCCCCAGGACCCCCAAACACCCCCTGAGACCCCCAAACGCAACCCTGAGACCCCCCAAAGGCCCCCAGACCCCCTGGGACCCCCCAACCCCCGGACCCCCCCAAACACCCTGAGACCCCCAAGCACCCCCCTGAGACCCCCCAGACGCACCCCCAGGACCTCCCAAAGGCCCCCAGAGCCTCCCTGGGACCCCCCAGACTCTCTGGGACCCCCCAGACGCACCCGTTCGGTTGGAGAAAAACCTCAAGATGACGGAATTGTTTGCCTGGGGGAGGGGAATTGAGCTCGAACCCCTCCTCAGACCCCCCAAATCCCTTCCAGATCCCCCAAATCCCCCTGCAGACCCCCCAAATCCCCTCCAGACCCCTCCAAAACCCCCAAACCCCCTCAAAGCCTCCCCAGAATCCCTCCCCAGAACTGGGTGAAAACCTTGCTGAGCCCCCCAGAACCCCCAAAATCCCCCTCAAACCCCCTAGACCCCCCCCAAACACACCCCTCAGACCCCCCAGAACCCCCAAAACTCCCTAGACCCCAAACCCTCCCCAACACCCCAGACCCCCTCAGACTCCCCAAATCCTCAACCTGTGGGATGAGCTGGCAGAGCCCCTCCTCAAACCACCCCAAATCCCTCCCAGACCTCAAATCTCTCCCAAAGCCCCCCAGACCCTCCCAAAGCCCCCCAAACCCCCCCAAATTCCCCTGACCTGGGGATGGGCTGGCAGAGCCCGTAGTGCTTCCGGAGGAATCCCAGGAGCTTCTCCGAGGGTCGATCCACGGCCAAGCGCTCGGGGCACCCGCCGCTCTGGGATGGGGGAAGGGGGCTGTGAGACCCTCCCCAATTTAACACCACCCCTGAGACCCCTCCCCAATTTAACACCCTCCCGAGACCCCCTCCCCCAATTTAACATCCCCTCAAACCTCCTCCCTGAGAGCCCCCAAACCCTCCAGTGCCCCTCAAATCCCCCCCATTCCGAACGCTCTGGGGGTCTGTGAGACCCCTCTCCAATTTAAGACCCTCCCCGAGACCCCTCCCCAATTTAACACCACCCCAGGAGACCCCCAGACCCTCCCTGAGACCCCCAACCCCCTCCCCCAGAGGCCCAAACGGGTCAAATTGGGGTGAACGGAGAGCAAAAAAAAAAAAAATTCGGCTCCCAGTGCTCCCAGTACGTCACTAACTGGTCCCCAGTGCGTCTATGGGTCACTTATTGGTTCCCAAGGCCCAGTAAGCGGCTCCCAGCGCTCCCAATACGTCACTCACTGGTTCCCAGTGCCCATTAACCACCTCCCAGTGCTCCCAGTGGATCAGTAACTGGTTTCCAGTGCGTCAGTAACTGGTTCCCAGTGCCCAGTGCACGTGTCCCAGTGCCCCCAGTGTGTCGGTAACTGGTTCCCAGTGCCCAGTAAACAGTTCCCAGTGCTCCCAGAGAGTCAGTAACTGGTTCCCAGTGCCCATTAACCAGCTCCCAGTATCCAGTAAGTGGCTCCCAGTGCTCCCAGTGGGTCAGTAACTGATTCCCAGTATCCAGTAAGTGGCTCCCAGTGCTCCCAGTGGGTCAGTAACTGGTTCCTAGTGCCCATTAACCAGCTCCCAGTGCCCCCAGTGTGTCAGGAACTGGTTCCCAGTGGGATCTGTGAGTCAGGAGCTGGTTCCCAGTGCCCAGTGCACATCTCCCAGTGCTCCCAGTTCCCCCAGTGGCACCTGCAGCATGTGCTGGAAGAGCTCCCTGCCGTGGCCGTGTCTCTGCAGGGACTCGTGCACGTAAAAATCCAGGACACAGAGAGGCTCCACCTCCACGTGGCTGCCGGCCCGGTCCTGGGGGCACGGGGCTGGGAGGGGCTGACACCCCCAGAGCCCCCGAGACCCCCAGAGCTCCCCAGAGACCCCCAGAACTCCCCAGGGATCCCCCCAGGGACCCCCCCAGGGACCCCCAGAACTCCCCAGAGCTCCCCAGGGACCCCCAGAACTCCCCAGGGACCCCCAGAACTCCTCAGGACCCCCTAGGGACCCCCAGAACTCCCCAGGAACCCCCCAGGACCCCACAACTCCCCCAGGACCCCTGCAGGACCCCCAGAACTCCCCAAGGACCCCAGAGCTCCCCAGGGAGTCCCCCAGGGACCCCAGAACTCCCCAGAGCTCCCCAGGGACCCCCCCAGAACTCCCCAGGGACCCCCCCAGAACTCCCCAGAGACCCCCAGAGCTCACCAGGGAACCCCCAAAGAAGTCACCAAGGACCCCCATGACCCCCAGAGCTCCCCAGGACCCCAGAGCTCCCCAGGACCCCCCAGGGACCCCCAGAGCTCCCCAGGGACCCCCAGAACTCCCCAGGGACCCCCCCAGGGACCCCCAGAACTCCCCAGGGACCCCCAGAACTCCCCAAGGACCCCCAGAGCTCCCCAGGGACCCCCAGAGCTCCCCAGGGAACCCCCCAGGGACCCCAGAGCTCCCCAGAGCTCCCCAGGGACCCCCAGAGCTCCCCAGGGACCCCCCTAGGGACCCCCAGAGCTCCCCATGGACTCCCCCAGGGACCCCCAGAGCTCCCCAGGGACCCCCCCAGGGACCCCAGAGCTCCCCAGGGACCCCCAGAACTCCCCAGAGCTCCCCAAGGACCCCCAGAACTCCCCAGGGACCCCCAGAACTCCCCAGGGACCCCCCCAGGGACCCCCAGAACTCCCCAGGACCCCCCAGGACCCCACAACTCCCCAGGACCCCCCAGGACCCCAGAACCTCCCTCAAGGACCCCCAGAGACTCCCCCTGAACCCCCAGGACTCCCCAGGAGTCACCCAGGGACCCCAGAACTCCACAGAGCTCCCCAGAGGACCCCCCAGGGACCCCGACCCTCAGAGCTCCCCAGGGACCCCCCAGAAGTCGGGACCACAGGACCCCAGGGACTCAGAGCTCCTCAAGGACCCCCAGAACTCCCCAAGGACCCCCAGAGCTCCCCAGGGACCCCCAGAACTCACCATCAGGAAAAGTTTCTTGTAGCCCACCTTGAGGAACCCGATGACGGCACCTTTGGGGGTCCTGGGGGGGGCAAAGGGGGTTTGGGAGCTCAGGAGGGGTTGAGGGGAATTCGGGGGTCTTGGGGGCATTTGGGGGCTTTGAGGGGGTTGGGGGAGTCTGGAGGGATCTGAGGGGGTTTGGAGGGCAGTTCTGAGGGGTCTGGGGGTGGTTGAGGGGTTTGAGGGGTCTCGGGATATTTTTGGGGGGGTTGGGGGTCTCACTGGGGGTCTCTCAGGATGTACAGATTGGAGGGGTCTTAGGGGTTACTTTGGGGGTATTTTGGGGTTATTTGGCAGTTATTTTGGGGTCCCACCAGGGGTCTCTCAGGATGTACAGGACATGTCTGTTGGTTTGGGGATATTTGGGGGTTATTTTGGGGTATTTTGGGGTTATTTTGGGGGTCTCACCGGGGGTCTCTGAGGATGTACAGGACATGTCTGTTGGTTTGGGGTTATTTTGGGGTTATTTTTGGGGTTATTTGGCAGTTATTTTGGGGTCTCACCAGGGGTCTCTCAGGATGTACAGGACATGTCTGTTGGTTTGGGGGTATTTTTGGGTTATTTTGGGGTTATTTTGGGGGTCTCACCGGGGGTCTCTCAGGATGTACAGGACATGTCTGTTGGTTTGGGGTTATTTGGGGGTTATTTTGGGGTATTTTGGGGTTATTTTGAGGTCTCACCGGGGGTCTCTCAGGATGTACAGGACATGTCTGTTGTTTTGGGGGTTATTTTGGGGTTATTTGGGGTTATTTTGGGGTATTTTTGGGTTATTTTGGGGTATTTTGGGGTTATTTTGGGGTCTCACCGGGGGTCTCTCAGGATGTACAGGACATGTCTGTTGCTCTCCATTCGGGCCGCGCTGGTCACGGGCGTGGGGAGGCCCTGGGCCTGTGGGGGGGGGAACAGGGACCCCCCAGTGACCCTGGGACCCCCAGTTGACCCCTGGGACCCCCCCCAGACCCTCCATTGCCTCTCAAACCCCCCCAATGACCCCCAAAACTGCCCCATGACCCCCAACTCCCCCCAGCCCCCAAAACCCTCCTCAGACCCCCTGGGACCCTCAAAACCCCTCTGGGACACCCCTCACCCCCAGTTACCCCCCATTTACCCCAGTAACCCCCAGTTCCCCTCCCAGACCCTCATTTCCCCCTGGACCCCCAAACCCCCTGGGACCCCCCAGTGCCCACCTTGGCCGAGGCCTTGCCCAGCTCATCGATCACCGTCCGCAGCTGCTGCTCCAGGTCCCCCCTGGGCCTGAGGGGGCGTTGGCACCCCAAAGACCCCCCAAAAACCCCCAAACAACTGCCCCAAACCCCCTTGACATCCCCCAAAAAACCACCCCTAAAGCCCCTTAAAACCCAGCCCAGCCCAGCCCTAAACCCAACCCCAGTTTAACCCCAGCACAAGCCCAGTTTAACCCCAGGTCCATTCCCAGTTTAACCCCAGGTCCAGCCCCAGTTTAACCCCAGATCCATTCCCAGTTTAACCCCAGTTTAACCCCAGGTCCATTCCCAGTTTAACCCCAGGTCCATCCCCAGTTTAACCCCAGGTCCATTCCCAGTTTAACCCCAGGTCCAGCCCCAGTTTAACCCCAGGTCCAGCCCCAGCTTAACCTCAGTTTAACCCCAGGTCCATTCCCAGTTTAACCCCAGTTTAACCCCAGGTCCATCCCCAGTTCAACCCCCGCCCCGCCCCATCCTCAGGCCCAGCCCAGCCCATCTCCAGCCCGACCCCAGTCCAACCTCAGCCCGACCCCAGTCTAACCCCAGTCCAACCCCATTTTAATCCCAGTCTAACCCCAGTCCAACCCAGTCTCACCCCATTCTAGCCTCCCGTACCTGTGTCCGCCCCCCCCGCGCCCCGCGGGCCGTAGGTTTTGATCCACGACGAAGAATCGCTCCCCGAGCACCGGCCCGAGCTCGAAGGGGAACTCCATGGCCCCCCCCGGGCCCCGGGACCCCCAAATCCCCAAATCCCCACTCCCCCAAATCTCCGTCCCGGACCCGCCACGGCCGCGCCCGCGGCACCGAGACCGCGCCCACCGCCCCGACCGGCCAATCAGAGGCCGGCATGGCACTGCCCAGCCAATCAGAACCGATCCTTCATACTACCTTAGCAACCGAGTCCCGCCCTTAGCAACCGCCGGCCAATCGGGGGAGTTCATTTATGGCCCCTTAGAAACCGAGTCCCGCCCTTAGCAACCAGCAGCCAATCGCTGCTGCTCCTTTACAGACCCTTAGCAACGGAGTCCTGCCCATAGCAACCACCAGCCAATGGCGACAGGGCCCGGCAACAACCTGCCAATGGGGGCTGCCCAATTGTTCACCCTTAGCAACCAAGTCCCGCCCGTAGCAACCGCCAGCCAATCGTTGTCATTCGTTCACTCGCCCTTAGCAACGAAGTCCCGCCCCCGGCGACTTCTGGCCAATCACTGCAGCTCTGGAGCTTCAGGCCCCGCCCTTAAAAACAGCCCACCAATCGTTGCCGGGTTTTCACCCATCCGTAGCAACCAAACCCCACCCCTGGCAACGGCTCAGCCAATCGCTGTCGCTCCTTCCCTGCCCTTAGCAACGAAGCCCCGCCCCTCCTTAGCAACCGCTTTCCCGCGCGGCAGCGAAGAGTGGCGGGAAGCGTCTCCCCCTCCCCGCAAGGCATTGTGGGATACTCTCCCCTCACGCCCGAGCCGCCATTTTGAGCCCCCTCTCACCACAAACACCCATTTGAGGGGTTTTTAACCATTTTATTCCACCTGTTTCTCCCCGGCGGGGCTCTGAGGGGCCAGCGGGGGCTGCTCCTCCTTGAGGAAGCCGCGGTAGAGGCGGCGCATCCGCGCGATCTCGGCGGGGGGCGGCGACCACCGCTCGTACCAGCTGTACCAGAACCCGCCCGGGTCCCGCAGCGCCGGGGGCGTCTTCCCCACCGCCGGGTGCTGGTTGGAGAAGTCCTCACGGGGAGTGGGCACGTAGGGCACCTGCAGCCACAGCAGCCCTGCGGTGCGGGAGGTGGGGAGGGGCCGGTGAGGGGGCCTGGGGGGGCACCCAGGGGTGTTGAGCCCACCCTGACCCCCCCCGAGGGCTCTCACCGTGGTCCTGGGCCTGGGCGATGGCCTTGGACAGGAGCTTGTGCTGCCTCATGCAGACCCCTGGGGAAGGGGGGACACGGTCAGGGACCCCCGAGGCACCCACAGGGCCCCCCAGCACACAGGGGGCCCTGCCCGTACCCCCCAGTGCCCTCCCAGTGCTCCCAGTTCCCCCTCACCGGTGTATGTGGGGTGGAAAACAACCCCCGAGTGGGGGCAAATAAACTGATCCAGGAGCTTCACGTTCTGGGGGAGAAAAAAGATTAAAGGGAGGAGAAAAAGTGGGGAAAATACGTGAAAAGAAGACAAAAGAGAGAAAGGGGAATAAAAAGGAGGGAAAAGGGGTGGGAGGAAGAGGCACTGACCCTGAAGTCGACGAGCAGGTTGCGGTCCCGGCAGATGGGACAGGGGTTCCCCACCGGCTTCCCCCGGCGCTGGGGGGGGACACAAAGTCAGGGGGGGCTGGGCCAGCCCAGGATCTCCCAGTCCAGCCCAGTGTCCACCCAGTGACCTCCAGATATGAGGACTCTGCCTCCCCCACCCTCCAGTCCCTCCATGTCCCCCAGTCCCCTCCAAATCCCCTTCCAGTGCCCCCTCCGTTCCCATTCTAATCCCTCCCTATCTTCTCCCAGCACCCCTCACTCCCCTGCAGTGCCACTCAGTGCATCCCAGTTCCCCCTCATCCCCCCAGTCCCCTTCCGTCCCCCAGTGCCCCCGCAGTCCCTCCCAGTATCCCCGAGTCTGACCAGGCAGGCCTTGCGGGTGCGCTGGGGGGGGATGGCTCCCTTGTGGTTGCGCCGGTACCCGAACCAGACAGGCCTGTCCCCGTAGGTCAGCCGGTACTCTGCGATGGAGGGACAGTTTGGGGGGATTGGGGACCCCCTGGGACCCCCAAACCCCTCTGAGACCCCCAAACCCCCCTCCAGGTACCTTCACTCTCCAGGTACTCCCAGGGCCGCTCCAGGTACTTCGACGGGGGCTCTTTGGGGGCTTTGGGGTCCTCGGGGGCTTTGGGGGCTTCCTGGGAGCTGCAGAGCCGGGGGTGGTTCTGGGAGAGGGGATTGATGACATCATATGCCCAAGCTCTGACATCATGGGGTTATGACATCACCACCCCAAGAGTGATGATGTCACTGGGCCTGTGACATCCTAACCCACACAACAATGGTGCAAAGTGGGTTATGATGCCGTAACCCCAAAAGCGGTGATGTCACAGGCACTATGACATCACAACCTTCAAGAGTAGATTCTACAGAAGTTACGATCTCATGTTTCTATTTCATGACATTAAGGGTATCAAATTATTGATGCACCAGTACCCACAACAGTAATGACATAAAACCCCCAAAGCAGTGATATCACAGAGCTTATGACATCACAGCACTCATGATGATGATGTCACATGGGTAATGACCTCATAACCCCACAGGCATAACATCACCCACCCCTTGCCCCCCAAAACCCTGCTCAGGGTTGGTGACATGTAAACACCTCCCTCAGTGAAGTCACATTCCCCTTTTCCTCCAAAACCCACCAAATCGCATCTACTGATATGATGTCATCGCCCTAATGCGATGACGTCATGCCTCGCTAAGCCCCGCCCCTCCCGAAGTGCTGCTGGCGCCCCCTAACGGAGCACCGCCACCTGGTAACGTCACTAACCCCGCCCCCAGCCCACGTGCGGCGCTGCCCCGTCCCCCCGACCCCCATTCCCGGTGCCCCCGCCCCGCGCCCCCCCATTGCCGGTGTCCCCCCCGCCTCACCCGCGTCCACAGTGGGGTCCCCGCCGCACTCAGCGCCGCCCTCAGCGCCGCGGCCGCGCGGCCCAGCGCCATCTTCCCGCCTCACGTTTAGGCCCCGCCCGCTGCTCCCCTCACGCCGCGGGCGCCATTTTGTGTTGTGCGGGGCCCTTCCCGCGGCGGCCGCGCACGCGTAGAACCCCCCCCCCCCAATAAAAACTGCGCCACACGAGGCCCTCCCCGCGGACAATGGCGGGCGGCGGCCGCGCGTGCGCGCTACGGCCCCCGCGCAGGCGCCGTTGAGGGGCTCAACGGGCGAGTGGGCGCGGCCGGCGCGTGACCGGGGGCGTGGTTCGGCGGGGGGCGTGGCTCGGTATAAAAGGGCGCGCCCAGCGGCGCCGCTGCCATTCTGAGGGCTGGTGGAGGTGAGTAACGAGCTGCGCTGGGCCCGGCGGGGAGCGCGGGGGGATTGCGTCCAGGGGGGTCCCACCCGCTTTTTTGAAGGGTTGGGTGGCTCTTTAAACGGCCTGCGACCCTTTGGAGGGTTAATGGCTCCTTTATCTGAGGGAAAACGCGGCCCCGCAGCCCCTCCGGGGCCGCCACCGCCCTGAGCCCTCGTGTCCTCTCAGAGCTCAGCCCTCCCCCGCCAAGGGCGTTTCTTCGGTTTTTTTCCTTTCTCCCCCGCTTTAAAGCTTTAAATTCTCCCCCGGGGATAACAGATTTCTAATAGTTCCGTGTCTTTTTCTTCTTTGCTTCTAATTTCTATTTTTTCAATTTTTTCTTTTTTTTTTTTATTTGTTGTGCCCCACCCTACCTTCCCCCCCCCCCTTTTATTTTTCCTTTCCCCGCTCCAGGTTTGGTTGGTCTTGAGAGACGCCGTCGCCTTTACCACGAGAGAAAAACATACAAACAATACAAAACAATACAAAAGAGAACAAAACAACAAAAAATATATACAAAAAGAGGGGAAGAAAAAAGCTTTCCTCCCCCCTTGCCGTGAAGAGCCGCCGCAGCCTCGTCCTTTGGACCGTCCTTGGAAGCCGTTCCAAACCCGAAGGAAACTGCCATTTAAAAACATATTTCCCCGCTTCTTCCCCCTCCTCCCCCTCAAAAAACAAAGGCAAAGCTCTCCTTTTTTTTTTTAAAAAACCCAAGCAACTTTTTTTTTTATTTTTTCACCCCGCATTCTAGGCTCGATAAATTTAGCTCAATCCACCTCTTTAGGGCTTAAAAAAAAACCCCAACAGAAACAACAAAAAAACCCAGAGAAAAAAAAACCCTTAAAAAAAAATAATCCCACTTGTCAAGCTGCAAAAAAAAAGTTGCTGCGTTTTTTTAAAGCCATGACCAAAAACAAACGAATTTTTTGGCTCTAACACCACCAAATGCCAAAATCCAAACCTTGAAGCGCTGTCGGCGAGAAAAAAAATTGGATAGTAAGTGTTGAATTTTCAACCAGCTCCCCCCTCACCCCTTCCCCCCTTTCAAAGAAAGAGCATAAACCCCCCAAAAATACCTTTATTTGTCCCCAAAGAGCAAAAATAATGGGAGGAAGAGCCCGATAATGTGCTTGAGGAGGACGTGGGGCTGTGCCAAAGGTGGTTAAAGCTGCAAAGCCGGGCTGAGGGGGGGGAAGAATTGGGGAGAGAAAAAGCGCTGGGAGAAGGCGCGGAGGGTCCAGAAAAAAAAAGAAACCGCCCCAAAAAAAGAGGTGGAAATTCCCCCCCCAAAAAAAAAATCGCTCGGTGGTCGCGGGGGAGCCGGAATTGGGGGAATTCGGGGGGAATTCGGGGGTGCCCGGCGAGCAATCTGTACATAAAGATTGCGGGGTCCGCGCGGAGCCTTGCGGGGTGGGGTGGGAAGGTTTGGTGGGGTTGGGGGCGGCGGATTCTGCTTTAAAAAAAAAGCTGATTTATGTCCTATTTTTATTTTTTAGGTGCCATTTTAGGATTGTTTTTTGCGCGGAGAAACGCGGGGTGGGGTGGGGGGGGTTTGATCAGGGGTCTGGGCTCGGCGTGCGGGCCGGGGGGGTTGCAATCTAGCAATAAAGATTGCTAGGCAGGCTTAGATCCCCCAAATCCGGCTTTTTTACCCTCAAAAATTCGGTTTAATCTCCCCCCCCACTCCCCACACGCCATGTCGGAAAAAACCCCTTTCCAAGATGGCGCCGCTCGGCCGCTTCTTTGTCTTGTTCTTTTTTTTAACCTTTCCCCTTCCCCCTCGCTTCCCGCCGTTAAATTGGGATATTTTTTTTTCCCGAGGTTTTTTTGCAGGTCGAGCCCCCCCGTTTTGGCGCTGGGAGGGGGGAGCTCCGAACCCCCCGATTGAAGGAGGGTTCTTCACACACCACCCCCCCCAACCCCCGCGGATTTAATTGATTTAATTGACTTTATCCGAGGTTTCTCTGGCGGTTCCGCGGCGGGGGGGGGAGTGTTTAACATCTTTCTCTTTGTCTCTTGTGTCTCTGTGTGTCCCCCCCCTTAAAAAGCTCTGGAAACCCCCCCAGTTTGGGGAATTTTTCCAGCTCTAAAATGGCGCCGGGGCCTCGCTGCTGATGCAACACAAATCAAACCCCTCCCACCTCCCCTGCTCGGGCCCCCCCAAATTCCACCCCCCCTCTTCTTTTATTCTCTTAACACCCCTCCCCAAAACCCCCCTAAATTCCCTCTAACCCCCCCCTTCCCTCCGCAGGACCCCCCAGCCCACCAGGACCCCCCCTCACCTTGGGCCGCTGCTGCCTTGGCAGCTCCTGCCCCCCAAACCCCCAAGCTTTTGATTTTTTATTCTTGTTTTAGCCCTTTTCTTCTCTTTTTTCCTCTCTTTTTTGTTTGTTTTGGTTTTTTTAGGTGGGTTTTGGGGGAGCACTGTGGGGAGAAAGGGGAGCAGCGGCCTCGAGCGATTCGTAATTTAATTTACCATTTAATTTACCATTTAATTTATCGTGACAGGGAAATGCTACCACTGGGCTTCACCACCACCCCCAGAAAATAGCTGGGTTGTTTTTTGGGGGGGATTCAAGGGGGAAACCCCCCCCCAAACGCTCAATTTTGTCCCGGTTTTCAATGGTTTTGCCCCGTTTTGGCAGCGTGGAGGTGCAGGCTTAGGAAGCTTTACCTCAGCAAAGGGAGGGAACAGCCACAACCCGGGTAAGCAACAAACCTTTTTGGTCTTAATTACATTTCACCAATCCCGTGTTTTGAGCAAGTTTTTAATTAAAAAAAAAAAAAAAACTAAAAGCCCAAATCCCCTTTTTTTATAATTCTTATCCCTTCTCCTCCTTTTGTCTCCCGGGATTTGGTTGTTGGTTGTTTTCCCGCCCCCCCCTCCCCTTTCCAGTTTAAAAACAAAAACCAAATCCACCCCAATCTGGCAGATTTTGGTGCAAAACCAGAGAAATGTCTGAAAATAATTCATATTTTTGGTAATAAAAGGGTTAATTTGGGAGTCTTTGAGGCCTGGAACAGCCCAGTGGTAGCATTTCTGGTTTTCGGACAGGGGGGCACTGCAGGTTCTCCCCCCACTTCCCACAGGGTTTTGGGGTCAATCCTGGGGGTTTCTCCCCTCCTCAAAAAGGTGTTTTTTTGGCGTAAAATGAGCTAAAACTGCAGTTTTGGGAGGTGGGGGGGGCGGGGTCAGGCCTTGCTTGGCCTCGTGCTGGACCCACTCAGGGCCCCCCCAAATTTTGAGGGTTGGGATTTACCACCCCCCCCTTCCAGGAAGGTGATTTACCCCCTTTTTGGGGGGATCTCGGTGCTTTTGGGGTCTCCCCACCTCATTTAACCCCCCCCCAGAGGGGTTTCAGTGGTTTTGGGGGGGTGGGGTCTGTGTTTGCTGCAAAGGGACCCCCCCAAAAAGGGGTGGGGGGCTCTAAAACACCCCCAAATTATGGGGAGGGGGTTGTTCCCCCCCTTTCTCAGGGCCGTGCCCACCCTAGGGGGCTTTGACTCCCCCTCCCCAGGACATTGAGGGGTGACACACATAACAGGACCCCCCCCATGAGCCACCAGTGGCTCTTTTTTGGGGGTCAAAGGTTACAGTGGAATTTGGTGCTTAAACCCCCAGTTTTAGGTAAAAATAAGTCACCCCCCCTTGAATTAGGGGGGTTTGTGCTGCTTTGAGTCGTTGTTGTGTCTTTGTAATTAACTCTGCCACATGATTGGGGTCTTTAATTAATTAAGGGGGGGCTCGTTAAGGCCCCACCAGGAGTCAAAACCAGCCTTGGGTTCCACCCCCCTTTTCCCAAATATTGATATTTTTGGGGTATTCTCACTCCCCCATCCTAAAAACAACCCCCCAGCCCCCCCTTCCTGCCCTCCTTAAGGAAACTGGGGCATAACTAAGCTGTAATTAACAGTGATTAAGTGACGTCAGAGCCTGAAACCCCCGAGGGGGGGTCATTAAGGGGGGCTTGGCCTTAATTAATGGACTGCTAACGAGTAGGTTTGTTCCTTAGTCAGGGGGTTTAATTAAGGGGTGTGAGGGGGTGATACCCCCAAACTTGGCACCTCGTTAAAGGCTAGCTCGTTGATTAACCCTTGGTTAATTAAAGTGAGGGTGGCAAAGGGGGGCTGTGCCCCCTCCAGACCCTCCCCCTGATAATGGGGGGGGAGTTTGGGGTCTGTGTCCCCCCCCTCAGTGTGACCCAAAATCCTTCTGTCCCCCACCCCAGGGGGAGCAGCACTAATGTGTTAATGAGTGTATTAATTAGTGACACAAATGAGGCCACAGTGTCATGGGGGGGGCTGTGACACCCCCGTGTCCCTTGGGGGTCTCACTTTGTGGCAGCTGCGTTTTGGGGCCATTTTCTCCTTTTTGGGGTTCAGTTGCTTCCTTTTTTTGGGGTCAGTTCCCTCCTCTTTGGTGTTTATTTTTTGCTCTTTCAAGGACAATTTTGTACTCTTTTGGGGTTGATTTCTCCCTTATTGAGGGAACAGTTTTCTCATGTTTTGTAGTCGATTATCCCCTTTTGCACTCCATTTCCTCCTCCTCGAGCTCAATTTCCTCAAACTTTGGGGAGTGACTTCCCCCTTTTTGGGAGGGGATTTTGCTCTTTCTTGCTTTTGTTCTTGAGGCTCAATTTTTGTCTGTTTTGGGCCCAATTTCCCCCTTTTTTGGGCTCGGTTTCCTCTGTTTTGGGCCTGATCCTGTTTGTCCCCATCAGGTGGGGGGTGGGCCCCTCTGGGGGGGTCCCA